ACTTGGGCACTGCTGTAGAAGATGGGTAAGGGGCAATGCGGTACCCGCACACTTGGGCACTGCTGTAGAAGATGGGTAAGGGGCAATGCGGTACCTGCACACTTGGAAGGCTGTGTGTCGGGAGTCCCTCCAGAGCAGATGGCTGAGTGATTTCTCTTCCCTCCAACACCAGACTGCGTAGCCCTGCTGGTCCAGAGCCCCACACTGTTTTGGGGAGAAAGACTTTCTCTGTCAAGCTATGAGGAGCTTTGTACTTAACTCTAAGGCTGAGTGTAGAGGCTCCTGTGTCCCGTCCCCTCGGAAGCCAAGACAGACTTAGAGCTGAGTTTAAGTTGGGAAGTGAGGACAAGTCCCAAGGCCACCTCAAGGCCATGGTGGCTGTGGATCCGTGCAGTCACTGTACCCCGCCCGCTTTGGCACAGACTGTGCCCCACACCCGCTGACCTGTGCTTCTCTCTGCCCCACAGGGTACAGTACGGTCACCTTCGATGGCACGCCCGGCTATGGCCACGCGCCCTCCCACCACGCCGCACAGCTGCCCAGCCACTCCTTCAAGCACGAGGACCCCATGGGGCAGCAGGGGTCGCTGGGTGAGTGCGTCTGTCGGGCTACCTGGGAGCACCCCGTCCGCTGCTCCCCGTGGCCCCAGGCAGCTCACCCCAGCCTCTCTGTCCCCTCACCAGGCGAGCAGCAGTACTCTGTGCCACCACCGGTCTACGGCTGCCACACCCCCACAGACAGCTGTGCAGGCAGTCAGGCGCTGCTGTTGCGGACACCGTACAGCAGGTAGGGGCTGGGACACGGGACAGCCGTCCCAACGGGCTAGTGAGAGCCGCTGCCTCTCCTGGTCTGTGTCCAGCTGCTGGCCTGACCTCTGGGCTTTTAACTGTCCTGGGCAAAAGTGTGGACCCCCACCCCATCTTCCTCAAGCCAGCCCCTTGGGCTCCAGGAAGGGAGCGACCCCACGGCGCACGCAGCCCTGGCCCATCCTGGCCCCCAGCACCTGCGGGGAGGTCCCCCAGCCCGGTGGGGACCCGCCGGACCTGTGCCACCTGTGTGTGCCCCTTCTGCTTGCTGGGCCGAGCCTCCCTCCAGTTCTCTGCTCCCCTCCACCATCTCTCCCCCAGACATATTCTTCAACTTTAGGTGAACTTGGCGGGTGTCCTGCGTCCAGATAGGGTTGCTTGGTAACCGTGGCTGGGGGCGCCTGGGCTGGGGGTGCTGGGTGGGAGAGCTGCCGCACTCTGCCCCTCCTCCGCGCTGCCTCGGGGTCCTGACACTGGCTGCCCCCAGCCCCTCCTGGCAGGGATGGCGGGACCCGGAGGCTGACGTCAAGGGAAGGAGGCAGTGAGGTAATGAAGGAAGGAAGAGCTCCGCCTGGAGGACCTCCGCTCCGCCCCCTCCCGCCCCCCGCAGGTGGAGGCCGGCTGCCGGCCCTGCCCTGGGCCTTGGCTTCCTGGGAGTTTGGAGCCGCAGTGCTTCCTCAGGGTCTGAGGCCTGAGCCTGCCGGCTTTGCAACTCGTGAAGATCCAATCGGGCAAATGCCTAATCGGCTTGTGGAATCTGCTCGCTGTTCTGGGGGAGGAGGCGGAGAAGTGTGCGGGCTGCGCAGCACACACAGCGCTAGGCCCCCTCCTTCCCTCCCTCCTTGCTGGACGCCAGCTCTGTCCTGGTACAAGTCCTGCCCCCACACCCGTCACCGCTGGCATTCCACCGGAGCCCAGTGTGCCCCCTCCTCCCCAGCGCGTGGCAGCGCTGCTGACATCTAGAGCTGCTCCTTCCTGTCCACGGTCAGGGTGTCCTTGCTCTTGTCCAGGTAGCAGGGGAGGCGGCTGGAACCATTCCCATGGGAAGACCTTGGGCTGCCTCTTCCTCCTGACGTCTGTGGTCTTGCCCTGGTCGCACCCCAGGCCAGAGGAAGGTTGTGGTGTGGGAGTGGGCACTGTTTGGGGCTTTGGGGTCCTTGGGGGTACAGCCCTGCATGTAGCCTGCTTGCTCCCTGCCAGGCCAGCCTAACCCTGTAGGTCCCCACAGGGCCAGGGTGGAGCAGCCCAGAAGGTGGAGGAGTCTGGATTAAAGTTGCTCTTTAATAGCAGTTCCCCACCAAGAGTCCCTGCATGGGTTTTAGGGATGAATCTGTGGCCAAGCAGAAGGGTCACTCAGATACTGTGCCTGTGTGCGTGCCTAGGTGTGTAGGTGTGTGCGTGCGTGCACACGGCTGCTGGTGGAGCCCAGGGCCTCCTGATGCCAAGCACATGCTGTGCTGCCGAGCCGCACCCCTGGGACCTGGGTTTTGCTTTCTTTTTTGCAGTGCTGGAGGTTGAGTCCAGAGCATTGTCCTGCTAGGATGGCCTGGTGCCGAGCTGCACCCAAACCTCGTAGCAGTTTGTGCACAAAGCGTTTCCATTTTCTTGTCTAGCTTCCCACTGGCCACTGTAGAAAGCAATTTTTTCTTTTCAGTCTTTCAGAAATGTTTGCTTATCTCTCCTTTCTTGTTTTGATACAAACCTCATAAAAGTACCACTTTCTTCTTTCACACAAATTTCCAAAGCATTTCAAAAAAGAATCTAAAGCTGGGTTTGGTGGCACACACACCTGTAATCCCAGTAATCTGGAGGCTGAGGCAGGAGGGTCATTGTGAGTTCTAAACCAGCCAAACCTAGAGAGTGTGCTCAAGGCCAGCCTGAATTGAGTAACATGACCCTGTCTTGAAAAAAAATAATCTGAAAAAAAAATAATCTGAGCTGTGTGGAAAGAGGTGGCACTGAGTCCGGAGCTTGACCTTCACCTCACTGACCACTTTGCCAAGGTCATGTGCGGGAAGGCATCTGTGCACCTACATTGCTCCAATTATACAGTTTTCTTCTTTTCCTCTCCTAAAAAAAGTTTGAGGTACATTTAAATATTTCTGTGAATGCAGTGTTTGAAAACCAGTAGAGTAGGTATAAATTGCTCAGTGGCTTAACTTCTGAATTTGAGATATTCAGTGGTTCTCCCGGGGATCCCTGGGTCTACATTTGGGGGGCTCTGAAAAAGGCTGACCCATGACCCCGTGCGACAGCAGCTCAGCACCCTCTCCCCATAGAGAGGTTGGGCTCCCCATGCTGGGGCCTGGAGCGCATCTGATATTAAATGAGCAATGTCTAACTCAAGTCTGCCTTTGGAGAGGATGGTCTTGAAATCCCAGCTCTTCCCTTGGCCCTTGCGTGTCCCCTCCCCTCTCTCAAGTAGCAGGTCTACCAGGTCAGATTGGATCAGAGCTGCGTGCATCTGGGTGCGGATGTGCACAGGAGGGGTGGAAAATGGCCCTATGGGGAGGTTGGGGCTGTTTTCCCAGTCTCCTCCCAACATTGAAGGTGGTGAGAATTTTGTCCCAAGCTCTCGAAGGATTCTGAAACTGGATTCTGGCCCTTTTAGGACCTAGTGACCACAAGGGGTGGACGTAGGGTCGCGTGGAGCACTTGGCTGGCTGTGCTCACTTCCCCTCGGGGTTCTTTGCCCCCCGACCACCTGAGGTGCCAGGACTCACGTGGGTGCACGGTGCAGTGCTGTGCGTGCTGTCCTTAGTGTCTTGCTTAAGTGGACTTTGCAGGCCCATGTGACAACAGCCAGCAGGGTTATCACCGTCTTTACAGAGGAGAACACTGAGGCCCCAAGGGGGACAGAGAGGGGCAGAGCAGGTGTTCTGTATGGTGGAGGACCGTGGAGGCTGCACGCCTCTGGAGTCAGCGTTTGTCAGTGGGCTTCCCACACACGGGCTCTGTTTCTCACAGCTGTGCCAGTCCAGCTGTCCGTCTGCTGCCCACCCATTCTGCGGGCTGCCAGGAGAAGGCGAGCTGCCCAGAGAAGGCGAGCTTCAGGGTTGGGCCTAGCTTTTCCCTGTGGGTGCTTGTCGAGCAAGAGCATGTCCTCCTGGAACTTCAGCCCAGAAAGAAGTTGCCTTCGCACCCTGGCTTCTGCAGCCCCGTCCTTCCCACTGTGTGGGTGCTGCTGGTCAGCTCAGCTCGGGCCACCTAAAAAATCCCAGCCAATAGCCTGATTCCATGCTGGAGAAGAGTGCTTCTGGGGTCACACCAGAGTGAGGGCCACCCCAACCTCCTGGGGTGGGCATCCACGTCCAGCCCCGTTATGCACCTATTTCTGCTAGCGGAGGCGGTGGGCTCTCCCTGGCTGCCCCTCGGCCCCGCTGCCTCTTGCCCGCTGGCCTCCCTGGGCCCCCATTGTGGGGTGAGCCTCACACTGCTTTCAAAACTGTGGGTGCAGCACTGGATTCCTGTTAGCACCACTTGCACCTGATTTTTACCAGTGCGTTATATTCATTATGGGGAGTTGGTCCCTAGACCCAACGCACCATCGTTTTTCTTACTCCATTCCTCGTCTCCTTGTCCTCTCCCCTTTTACAACAATGTGTTTCTGTTTCTAGCATTTACCTTTCATTTTGGTCTTTTTACTTTGGGTTTCTTATAGAAGAGAAGCCACATGGTGCTTAAGCCGTGAGTCTGATTTATTTCAGCTCACTTCGCTGTCTCAACGTGTGCCCACTTCCTCACACGTGGCTCAGTGTCCCACATGTGGCTCAGCTTCACCTACCTAAGGACATTCTCCCCTCCCTCCTACTGGCCTTGCACAGCTTCCTCTGGCCACTGCGCTGCCAGTGAGATGATGGTCTTCCCTCTTGCCCTGTTTGTCCCTTTGAACAGGGAGCACCACACTAGTCCTGGGAGCATGAGCTTCAGGTGGCGTGGCCCTGCGTGGTGGCCTCTTCACACTGGCAGAAGCCTCCTTCGTGGCCACAGAGCTCCGTGTGGCTCCAGGTCTTCAGGGCAGCGTGCAGCTCACCTTCTGATCTGGGTTTCAACACAGACATCAATCAGAGGACAGCTCGAGCTCAAAAAATTAGGCCCTTCTTGTGTGCCCAGCTCTGTAAATGGCACGCAGGCAGAGCGTGGGAGGGCGTGGTGAGGCTCGATGCTTTTTCCTGGGTGGCGGCATTGAACTCATTTCCACGGATGGGGGAGCCTGTACCTCTTGTCTGAACAGAAATAGAATCCCAGTGGGATTTTTTTTCCCAGTGAGCTGGGAGCTCAAGAGGAGTGACAGCAGCAGAACAGGGCGTGAAGTAAGTGCTCAGGGTGGCCTGCAAGGCGACTGCGCTGCGTCCCTGCAGGTTGTGGCGTTGCGCTGGGCGAGCAGGGCCACCCCCCCCCCCCCCGTGGAGCGCGAAGCCTTCCATCGGCACTGCCAGCCATCGCTGCCGTGCTCCAGTTTGGCACTTCTGGGGCTTGGATCTCATGGGAGTTTCCTTCTGCTAAGATCCCACACGTCGGAGCCGCGCAGCAGACGCAGCAGCCACGTGGCAGAAGCAGCCGCGGGCTGTGTTCCGCTGGTGAGGTGGACTCGGCTTCCTCCCGGCGGCGGCGTGAACACACTTGGGAGGCACTTCGAGATGAGCATGCCCTCGAGTGGGGCGAGTTGACGGCCCTGGAGAGGGAGGAGCTGGCTAGCTAGCGGCTGGGGCTTCCTTCTTCTTTTCTTTTTGTACAGAGGTCGAGAGCTCACTCATACTGTAGTCCAGGCCAAAACAAACTATATGATCTACTACCGATTTCCTTTTAAGTTCCCCTTTTGCTCAGACTGACTTCCTTTTATTTTACTCCAACTTATTAATCGCAGTTACAGAATTCTCTTCCCTCTTTCCCGTACCTCCAACTTCAAACATGTCTTACATAGGAAACGAGGGCCTTTAAAAAGATCTACTTAAAAACATATAAAGGACACGGTGGTTCTTGGAATATATTTTGGCAGCCTGCGGTTTCAGAGTTCACTTCCGGGCATGGGGAGCTGGGCGGGTGGGGCTGCCTACGTGACATGGGGGTCACTGGGACCCGAGCTGCCTGATCTCCCCTGGCATCCGCAGTGGTCACGTAACAATTGGCTGCCTCGTTTGCCAGAGGCCACGTCTTTCCCGTCTTTCCCGAGGTCGCTGCCTCTTTCCGTGGGTGTCTGTGGTGAGCCTTGTGTGACCCAGCCCCCAGGGCCTGGGAGCCAGCCGTGTTGGTCCCAGGGTTTCCAGCTAGAGCTCTCTGCTGTTCCTGCCAGCCGCGGTGACTGGCCTATGTCACTCTCTCCAGAGCAAAAATTGTGCTGGCCAGGCCCCCCATCGAAGGTTGTAGGTGACATGGCTCTGACCTTCTCTCCTCCCTTAGGAAACGATTAGTAGCTTTTTCTTCTTTTCGGTGCTGTGAATTGAACCCAGGACCGTCTGCTTGTCAGTCAGGTGCTGTGCACGGAGCTGCATCCCTGACCCTATTTTTTTTGCTTTGTTATTGTTTGACCTGGGCTCTTTCTTTCTTTCTTTCTTTCAAGCCCTTTCTCACTTCTCTCCGGGCTAGCAGTTTTCAAGCTGGGCTCAGGAGGGCCTGTGTGTGTGTGTGTGTGTGTGTGTGTGTGTGTGTGTGTGTGTGTGTCTGAGTGCTGCAAGAGCTTGCGCCCTCCTCAGCGAGCCTGGAGGCTGAGGGTGTCCTGTGTCCTTGAGCTCCTAGGAGTCAGGCCACACTGCTCTCCCAGTCTGGCACACAGCCCTCAGAGGAGCACAGGCTGCCTGGGAGCGCCAGTACGCCCAGGGCCAGGCAGGCACAGGATGCCAGGCAGGCGCGGGACACCCGGGCCCCCAGCAGCGGGCAGTTCAGTGCTGCCTGCTGAGTGGACGTCACTGTGAACCCACCCTGAAGGGCCGTCTCGAGCCACACTGGGAGTGTTGACACACTGTTGGACATCTGTCCATTGGAGAAATTAAAGTCTGTGGTCTGCGCCTTCTTCTGAGGGCCACAAGGGCCTCAGCACTCAGCCATCTGAGGCTGACTGATGTCGCCATTTACCAGGAAAACAAAAACAACCCCGAGGTGCAGAGAGCGGCACTGGGATTTGCCCAGCTTGCACCCCTGCAAAATGCTGCGTGCAGTAGACACATCCTAGGTTCCACACATGCTGCCGGGTACTTGCTAGGAACCACCTGAAGTGGGACAGAACGAAATTCATGTAAAAATACTGCATGTATCTCAACGTAGCTGAAGTCTTATTTCCAGACAGGGCAGGACAGAGTGACCACTAAGTGGCAGCGGGGAAGAGGCATAGATAAAGGCCCAGGCCCTGTATTTGAGAAAGTCTACTCTCAGAGGACCGAGGACATTCGTTGAGATGTCCTCTCCAGGTGCTTTCACAGAGACAGCCTGGGGACCAGCGGGGCGAGGCTTTGTGTCGGAGGAAATCGCTGCCTCATAAGGCTCCTGGCTTGGGATTCGTTCAGCCTTGCACAAAAGCGTTGGTGGCTCACTCGTCTGGTTTCCAAGCTGTCTTGAAAGTCGTCACACTCTCAGTCTTATGCAAGAATTACATAATTTGAGAACGATCCCACCTCCCACGAGGGCCTCCGAAAATTGTCAGCAGGAGCTGAGTGATTCCAGTTGGTGAACAGTTTTTGAAAATCAGTGACAAAAATATAGAGCTACCTGGGGAATACAATGCCTGCTGGCCGAGATTAATGGCAAGATTAATAAATGGATTGCTTGATGAAAAGGCGCAGGAGAACAAAACCCAGTGCGGGCAAGGCTGTGGAGGGGGGCGCTTATTAATGAACTGTCAGCCCGGGGAAAGTTCAGGGAGCTCCCTGGTGCTGAATGCAGCCCACGGCTCTTCTAATAAAAGTTGGGGTCCTTCAGGAATTAATTACACCAGCCTTCCAGCAGGAATTCATGGAATTGCGAAACACAGTGGCACCGACCAGCACGGCGGCGGCCGCTGCAAACCGGGCAGCCGCTGAGGGAGACTTATCGTTTTTTCGCATTGGTATGTAGGGTACCACGGGAGCATGGTGCTCAGCCGGTCGTGGGGGGAGCACCACGCCAGGTACTCACTGGCCAATAAAGTGGTGCATACTTGGAGTTTGAAGTCACTTTGCTCTTCGCAGGCAGACTTCCCTCGAAACTGAGTTCCTTCTGAACCTCTGGATCTGCCACTGAGGAGTTCCAGATAATTCCCAGGGTGATAATTCGGGGGGGGGGGGGTCAAATGGACTCCACCAGGATTTATCGGGCTTCTCAGCAGGCATGGAGTTCAGGTTTTCCTCGTCCCTGGTATCTCTCTGACCCCTCCAGTCCCGTTTATTTGGCTAGACAAAAACCCTCTATGAGTAAAAATGAGTGTTGCCCAGTGAAGCAACTGAAAGGAATTTCTTGACAAGACAGAGGCTGTCCAGTATTTGCCATCTGATATCACACATTAGTGAGTGGAGGCTTCTTATCTTTCACTTCTGCGTGAAGGTGGGTGAGTGTTTCCCTCCAAATATGTTTGGACCATGGTTCCCAGGTAGGCCATTAATCTCTTGGGTCTCAAATTTCATGGTTAACTATTTCAGTTCAGGCACAAAGGTGTTCCTACTAGGGCTTAGCAGTGTGGGAAGTTTCTGGTACTTGATCTACAGGGACCAGATGAAATATGTGGATGCTGAATGTTTAAGTGAAAAGAAATGTAGCGCAGGACATGCTGCCATGCATCCCCCAGAATACTCTTTCCTGCTTCACACACACCTAGCCCTCTGCTTGCTCCACTTTGTGAAGCAGTTCTGGAAGTCCTCTTTTTGTGTCTCTGAGGTAGGATCAAAACTGTGGTGCATGCTGCCACAGAGCACTGTCCACCAGAAAGACAGCTTGGGAAAGCATTAGGTTGTGTTCTCACCCACCTTATTCAGCAGATCTGGTTCTGGGCGGCTTCCCCACAGCCAAAAGAGCCCCAGAAGGTCAACATTGTGAATCAATTCAGGACACTGAAGCAGCCACACCAGTGGGACTGAAAACTCTCAGGAAAGAGGACTCCAGAGCTGCTGCAGGAGGGACGAGAAGGATGGGATGAGTGTGCACAAGGCGAGGGGGAGGATTTTGAGGCGCATTCGCAGCAGTCTGCTTTTACTGTGATAAGTTTTTAAAAAATGCATTCACTGTAGTTGTTGATCACAGCTTATATGTGCTGGGTTTCTAGGAATGAGAGAATCATGCAGAAATAGAACAGATTTTGCTTGGTTTCCATGGTTGCTGATGTACTTTCTCTTTGGGGTCTCATCGTAGAACACTGGTCTTTGTTTTTGCTTTTTGGATTAAAAAAAAAAAGTGCTACTTGACTGTTGCCGGCTTGTAAAATGTCCAGAGCATAATTCCACTGCCTGCCGTGCCTGCCACCTCCTCCATTGCTGTCACACCCTTGGGCACTCGCCATCTGTCACCAGGGGCTGACTTTTCAGGCTCTCATAATCCACAGGATACTTATCCTTTTGATTAAAACAACTTAATGGTCTCTTCACGAATAATTAATCTGCTGTCTTTTGGCTCTGGCTCCGGGCCTTTAACTTTAATGCTGAGCTGTCCAGGCTGTGTCCCCTTTGGAGGCTCCCTCCCTTCAGCCTCTACCCTGCAAAGCTTATACCTGCACAAACTCCCAGAGCCACCAAGCTACTCTGGCCCCTGTGGTGTGGGCTCGAGATTGTGCAATGAAGCAGAGACCCATCTGTGAGGCTGCAAGATGCGGGAGCCTTGCACTTGAAAGACCATCGGAAACCCGAAGCTTGTGCGTGTGTGTGTGTGTGTGTGTGTGTGTCATTGTGTCTTTCTAACTCTGAATGTTTCCCAACAGTGACAACTTATACCAGATGACCTCTCAGCTTGAATGCATGACCTGGAACCAGATGAACTTAGGGGCCACATTAAAGGGGTGAGTAAGGTCTCCTTCCATGCCAGTCCGAGGGTTACTCGCCAAGGGGCACAGTCGTAGAAAATGCTCCAGATAGGGTGCTTCCTCTGTCCCCCAGGGGGTTGTGTTCAGCAAAAATATTTTAAAACTACCAAGAGGGGTTTTCTGTCTGCAGCAGGGGAGTTGTGACTACCGGCTTAGCTTACTTTGTGGCCTTGCCTGCACGATGTCTTAGGAATCTTCAGCGTTGTAGCGTCCCTGCCACCTCCTCTAGCGGGAAGCTTTGCTGGTGGGGCCACAGATGTGAGCGGCTGCTCCAGCTCATCATGTGATGCTTTGTGAGCACAGGGCCCCGGGCTGGGCTCCTTCTATCTGCACTGTGGGTTGGCCGGAGAGGGCCTCACCTGCACGCACGCACGCACGCACAGGCCTTGCAGGAGGGGGATGTGGCTCCAGGCGCCAGGCAGAGGTGCTGTCCACCTAGCAGCCAAACACCAAGACCAGGCCCCAGCGAGGCCTCCCTGTTAGTGTACAGGAAGCCTGCTGGGGTGACGTGGCAGGGCTGTGTCTCCTACAACTGAGGAGCTGCGCTGAGTCACATGACCTTCACAGTCCCGTCTCTGTACTGCAACCGCCCTGTCAAGCCCAGATGAAGCAGCAGAGCCCGAGCTCCCTCCAGCTCTGTGGCACCTGCTCAGGCCCCAGCAGAGCTGGGACTGAGCTTGAACCTCAACCATTGGAGTTGCAGGGCTCCTCCCGGATTCAGGGTGGGGGGCCTGCCGGAGGGCCTGCTGCCCTCCGTGCCCCATCCCCGCCTCTTCTTTTCTTCTAGAGTTGCTGCTGGGAGCTCCAGCGCAGTGAAATGGACGGAAGGGCACGGCAAGTGAGTGGACATGGCCTGGTGCCTCCTCAGGCCACACAGGAGTTAGGGTGACACGGGAGCTGGGATGGGCAGATCCTACCCTCAGTCACTCCTGTGGTCACAGCCACGAGGTGGCCACATGCCTGGGCTAGTGCCATTTTCCAACCCACAGCCCCGGAGAAAGTGCTGAAGCTCGCAGCAGGAGCCCTGCTTGATCCCATGACCACTTCCCGCATCACGCTTGTGCCTGTGAGGTCCACAGGTCTCTCCTTCTTTGCCTGCTTCAATTTGCTTTCCTCTGCTTACCCGTCAGTCTCCACAGCAGAAGCGACTTTTGGTCCTACATGTGTGGAGAAGGCTCTGTGGAGCCCCTAGCCCCTAGTGTGCACCCGGAGTATCTGCAGCGATTTCGCTCGCCTTTCTCCTCTTGGCCTGCCCTGCGCCAGCCTCCTGCTTTCCATCTCTGGTCTGCACTGGGGTCTTTGGTGACCAGTAGTGGCTCCCAGCACCCCTGTGTTGTGCCCCCGCCTGCCCCATCCCTGAGGACTGGCAGTTGGACTCCATGTTTCTCCTGACTCCGCTTGCTCACCCTTTGTGGCCTCCTGGTCCCCGCCCTCCCTGCTGGATCCTTTCCTTGTCTTCCGCTCCTCTCTTCAGAATTTAGTAACCCTGCCCAGATCCAGTGCCAAGGACAGACAGAACGCAATTGTGCAGGGTGCGCCGCGATTCCATGCTGACTGTCCCTCCTTGCTGCAGTGCATGGTGGGCTGGTTGGATTACGGGTGTCGCAGATCAGGAGTTGAGCGTGTGAGTCTTGGTGTCTCACACTGGAGATAATTTCGATATTCTTAAAGGTCTTGAGACACGTGACATGTGCCACTTGCTGGGAAGGCAGAGCTGGACTGCGTGGGTGAAGGACAGAGTGTGAAAATGTGCTTTGTTCAGTCTGCTTCTTTGAAGGAAAAATGAGGGGCGTTGTCATAGGTTTGTTACATTGGGAACTTCAGAAGTAAAAATGTAATTCATGAATGCAGCTTTGTTTGAGGATCAGCTGTTCCCAGGTCTGGTCCCATGTAAGGACAACTCAGAACAAGACCTCACAGTGATCCAAGTTTCTGACTATTCTCTCACCGTGTGGATCTGTCCCTTAGATTTGCACTGATCCAGCTCCTTCCCACAGTCCTCCCCTGAGTTCCCGCTCGGCTTTCGCAGCTCTCTGCGCACGGCGGCCACTTGGGGTGAGGGTGGAGAGGTCCAGCCACTTAGGGCTCCAGAGTCAGTTCTGCCTGCTCCCAGGACCCGGCCATAGACTAGTTCCTTAGCTGTTTCAGATGGTGACCACAGTTGGAAAGGGTTTGTACTGAGGTCCGAGCCCCACGGTGCACACAGGGCTCACCCTGGGGCATACTGTGCTCGGCCAAGCTGCTCCAGGTCAGTTCTGAGCAGTGCTGAGTGTGACATTCAGGGTCGGGTGTACACTTCACCTCACACTTGTGTCATGACCTGGTGTGCCCTTTTTCAGCTCTAAGAGGATGACTGGTGACCTCACTCCTCCACCATGCCCAGGAAGGGCGGCAGCTGGTCTCGTGGGTCTGCACTCCCACTCAGGAGCGTGGCTATCCTGGAGGAGTGGGCAGCAATCTCTGCGTTGCGTTGCCGTACTGGCTTTCCTTGCTGTGGCGTGCAAGCACTGTTAGTAGGTCCTGAGCTGGAGCCAGCCAGTGGCAGGCCTCTGCCAGCACTCGGTGAGGCTGGAGCAGGAGGGTCACAAGGCAGTCTGGCTGGACAACTTAATGACTTAGCAAGTCCCTGTTCCCAAAATTTAAAAAAGCAAGGTGGGGTGGGTGGAGCCACAGCTTGGTGTGAAGGCCTCGGGCTTGATCCTCAGCACTGGGAAGACCTCTTTCATCTACAGTCAAAACCCTTGTGAATATCTGAAGTCACTGGCGAGAACTCACGGTGACAAGGTAGATCTGTGGCCAGGAGACGGGGCGGGACTCAGTCTTTACGGCGCAAATGCTTAATTTCTGCATCTCCCGTGCGAGCATGGCGCTGGCAGTGCTTTATTAAGAGGTCACTTCTCTCGCCAAAACAGGAACTAGCTGGCGTGTTGTTCTCTAAAAGTTCGCTGTTTGGAAAGTCGCTCTGCAGAGGAGGCTGGTGGGGTCTGCAGGATGCACTCTGCTGGTGGAGACCCTGTCTGGCGGCGGGCACAGAACCTCCGGAGGGTGGGGACAGGTCCTGGGTGGCGCCGCATCTCCTTGGCTTCCTGCTTTGGCCCCTCCCTCAGCCCCTCTGGCCTCTGCGTGTCCTCAGGGACCCGCGCTGCGTGTGAGACCTCAAGTGAGAGAAGCCTGATCTCGGCTGAGGTTTGAGGAGAGGTCATGTACAGGCTCCCTTTCCTTCCCTTCCTCCATAAGCAAGCCGGATAGGCTTTCAAAGCAGGAAATCCGCCTTTCTGGAGAACCTTTCTGTGCACAAGCCCTTCTTGAGCATTTGTCGGGGCACCAGCCTTCTTTCTTTACGTTTTCTGCTGGTTTCCAAAGGTGGCTCCCAGGCCACGGCCGCCTTGCTGCCTGTTTTGTCTTCTGAAGAAAATATCCTGTGAAAGGGAGAAACATATCAGCCTTGAGCGCGGTCCAAGATACTGAGCCCAGGAGGAAGCGGCAGGGCGGGCGGGGGAGTGGGAAACGGACACAATGGAGCATGCAGGGCAGAACCGGGGCCTGGGTGCTGGGCTGGCTCCGGGGTGTGCGTGCAGGACACCAGTCCACGACCCCCCCCCCACGCCCCGCGCGCTGCTGGAGCAGTTCTTGCTTTATTTTGGCCTCCATTGGACTTGGTGATGCCACAAAGGAAAGTGAATGTGATGAGGAGGATGAGGAAGATGAGGAAGGAGTGTCCTGACTCAGCCTCCTCCCCATCCCATCTGCCCCCATGGAGCACTGGTGCTGAAGCCTCTCATTTGTGTCGCTTTTCTCTCCTCCCTGGCTGCCACCTTTCCTGGCCTTCTGTCTCTGCGCTGTTTGCTTTCATGTTTAATTTATCGGATGAGGGAATTCATGTAATGTTGACAGTCCCACTGTCCCAGGCAGGAAGCTGCAGCTGCCCGCAGTGCCGTGTCCCAGGTGACAATACCCTCTGCTCTGTGACCCACAGGTAGACCTTTCTCTGTGTGCACCTGGCGGCGGGTTGCTTTCTCTCCTGAGAAGCCTGGCTTTTGCTTGGGTGGAGCGCTACAAATGCATACTCAGAGGCTGATGTCGAGGTCTGTTTCAGCCTGCACTAGTCTTCGCTCTGAAAATGTGCTTAGTCTCTTAAAATGTCTAGAGATTTCGAAGCACCGTGTGTTGGTGCAATCTATAGTCCAATACTTGGGAGGCTGAGGCGGGAGGGTTGCAAGTTTCACTCCCACCAGATAACTTGATGAGACCTGCTCTCAAAAAGTGCAAAACACTAGAGGTGTAGGGAGCCCCTGGGTTCAATCCCAGTTCCTGCAGCTATTTGTATCGGTGGCCTGGTCCACTGTTCATCTTCATGGGCTGTTTCTGACCCACTTAAGGCAGGAATTACGCTCATATGAAGGAGGGAGGGAAAATGTTCAGACGGAAATGAGGAAGGAACCACCCAGGAAACCAGTGAGAAGGTGGGGCGGGACTTCTTGGGGTCTCCCACTGGAGCGGCCAGGGGCTCTGATTGGCTGGCAGGGGTGAGGCGGGGCTGCAGAGCCGGTGCTCAGGCCGTCCCTCTGCTGTCTGCGTGCCTGGCTACTACCCTGCAGGCTGTCTTCTGCTCCGGAAAAGCCTGCAGCCTCCAGCTAGAAAAACACAGCAGAAGCTGCATCAGTAAATGTAGCTAGAGCCACCCAAGTCTAGTCAGAAGCTGGGCCGCTGCTGCTTTGGGGCTACTTTCTCCCCGGGGTGACGCATCCGTTTCCCTGGGCTCACTTCCGACTTCCCCAGTCTGCACAGCGTAGAGGCTGCCCGCAGAGGCTGAGATGTGGCTTTCCTCAAAATGAAAGCAGACCTTTTCTCTTCCATTGGAACAGTGAGGCAGGCGACCCAGGCAGTGTCCAAGTGCACCAGGGGAGGCAGCGCCGCCCTCCCAGCCCCCAGCGGTGGCATTCTAGCTGCGGAGTAAAGCCTGGAAGGCCAGCCCAGAGTGCGGTGTTCCGAGGTGGCCTAGCGGGGGGAAGCTGAGACCTGCGGGGATCACGGAAGACAGGGCTGGGATTTTGAGGTGCTGATTTTTGAGACAAGGTCTCTAGTTCAGACTGGCCTTGAACCACTACGTGTATATACCTCAGGCTGGCTTTGGACTTGCCAAGACCCTCCTGCCTCAGCCTTCAGGGTGCTCCATGCTCCAAGAGCTGGGATTGCAGGCATGTGCCACCGTCTCTGGCTCTGAGGAGCTGGTGCTTTTAGAGAGTTGTTTTGCTTTACCTGTTTTCATTTAGAAAACTGTACTTCCTTGTCACAAGGACAAGAAATATTTTTTCAATTTGTTTCAGCTCTGTCAGCATTTTCTTGTCCTATCAGAAGTTTTAAAATTAAAATACTTTGTTGTTGTTGTTGAGCTAGGCTGGGCCCAGGGGCCCTGCTTGCCCCCCCACCAAGCAGTGACCCCAGTCAGTGCTGTTTCCATAGTAAAATTTATAAACTGCTCTTCATAGTTTCAATGTGTTGGGTTTCATATTACTTTTTAAAAAGATTTTTCCTCACCTTAGGGTTTTGTAAATATCAGAAATACTTATTTATTCCTGATCTTGATAAAAATTAATCTTTCATATCTTATCCTTAATTCAAACTGGCTTTACTTTGCTGTTGGAGTCCAGCTTGATTCCTCTCCAGAGGAAGAGGCAGTGTGCAGCCCACTGGGAGCAGCCCTTCTTTCTCACCATGCCTTTCGAACTTGACTTTGTCGGACATAGAACCACCAACCCATGGCCAACTCCTCCCTTCATGCCTCTACCAGGCCCTTCTGCCTGGTTTCAGACCGTCTGCCCTCCTGTAGTTTCCATC